GCCCTTGGATCCAACCAATCAAAAACAAGGAGATCGAATCAGAGGACCATTCTTTTTTTGTAAAAGATATTACAAAGGACTGTACTCCACATTCATAAATTAATAAAATTCTATTTTACTCCATATTTTGTTTCTATTGCAGACTTACAAAATTTGTGTGTACAATGTGACTTAACCACCGTCCATTAATTCAGGAAGCCACTCAACTTAGTTTTAGTTGATATGACTTAACCAAGATTAGGATTCAATATTTATAAATCCATTCATTAAATCCGTTAGGTTAGGTTTAGGTGTTTAGAGCTAAACCGTCACCAGTATGTCACCGTCCCATACCGATGCATATAATCCTCCATATCCTTGTAAATTACATCATATATATAACAGTTTAGTAATTTACAATCCAAAATTAATATCCAAATAATTGCAGAAGGGATATTAACAATCTAGCAATTAAAACCCAGTAGTAATCTATGTAATTGCATCGAAGAATTAAATATTCTAAAAATTAACATCCAACACATGCATAGTTCAAATTTAATAAAATAATGACCCTATCATGTATTTAAAATTAGTTCTATAATAATATTATAGTCCAATAAATTGCTAGATTAATTTAAGCGATCTAGTTCCCTCCATCCGGTAATAGAGTACTAAGTCATATACTTATATTTTGTTGTATCCTTTAGCACAGAGCCCCCACTATGCCAAAAGTCCAGTATATTACTTTAAAAGACTTCATCGTGCATCTAAAATATATTGAAAATCATTTTATAGCACCTTAAACCATCAGATTAAAATTAATCAACAAATCTCCTTTTAGACGTTAACTGTACGCAAAGTTGTCAAATAGCGTACTGTTAATTCTATTTAAAACTAAGGGGTATATTTATACAATTCAAGACCTTAGTTACATGTTAAAATCATTATTTAAAAACCCAATTAAAATTTTAAAACTGTTCAATAACCCAGAATGCCCAAACAGTGACTGAAAGTCACTTTTACGCACAAAACAAAGAAAGAGCCTGCTCTAGAAAAGTAGAGCAGGCTCAAGGTGACATAGAGCCGGCTTTACCACACCTTGGAGCCGGCTCTAACAGGTGGGAGCCGGCTCTTGGCATTCCAGAGCCGGCTCTCTCTCCCCCTGTGAGCTTCCTCTCCGTTTCTGCTTTGTTCTGACCTCTGTTCCAACTCCGGCCAACTACAACCCTTCTGTTTGGTTTCTTAAACTGATCTTAAATATCTTATTAACACCCAAGAACATCCTAAAGGTTTGATAACAACCATTAGACCCAATCACAGAGATTAAATTTTGCTACCAAACGAACATGCGATAGGAACAAATCTGAAACTATTTGACTAATTGAAACGGAACAAATTGCAACACATATTTAAAACAGAATAATAACAGCCCTATGAGTTTTATATAACCCTAGTATTGTTCTTATATTTTGTCTACAGTAGTTGCAATCAAATACAGAGACTAAAGTTACAACAAAAACAACATGCTTGCAGGACAGAAAACTGGAACGAAACTTGTATGCACTGTAACAGATTTATTTTCAACACCACAGATCATCAATATAGCATAAGTTAAACAGGTAAATTCCAGTTACTGATTGATTAAACCCTAAAGATTATCTAGGTGCACAGAACACGAGCCAAAGAGAAGGAGAAAGAGAAAAACTTGCCTGTGATTTCAGTTATGAAATCTCGGCGTCGTCTCTAAGTTTCCGGCAACTACTGAACACCAGTAAACCTTCTATTGCTCCGAATCTAACCTTAATCAACCTCCTTGGTCCTTTCTGTAAAATTCCCCCTCAAGCCTTGCTCTGTTTCTCTCACGTCTCTGTTTTCTCTCTGTGTTTCTTTCTTGTCTTTGATACGTGAACAGGAGTGGTATAAAGACTTTTTAAAACCCTAAGTTGTCATAATGATATATTTATAGGTTTTAAACTAAAACCCTAATCCAAAATTTCAATCCAAGAAGGAAACACAAATACTGATATTCTCTACCTCAATCAAAAACGTGAAACCCTAAAAGAAAAAAAAAACCCTACAATAAACATTAATTTAATTAAATTTAATAAAACAAATAATTAATAATACAATTAATTAACAAACCAATACAATCAAAATGCCAATTCATTCAGACAACAAGCAAATAAAGTTCAAATAAATCAACCAATGAAAACCAAACAAATAACACACACAATTAAACAATAAAAATGCAATTAAATCAATTTAACAAATAAAATGCAAATAAAATGCAATTTAAACAATAAATAAAATACCAGGACTATCCTTTTGAAATTAGGGGTATTACATTCTTCCCTCTTAACAAAAGGAATTCCGTCCTCAGAATTCGCTCTTACCTTCATCCAATAACATGTGATAAATTTTAAATATAAACAAGATCATCACTAAGGAAGACCAAAACAAATTATGCTCAAAAGTCAACTGTAGTGAAGATAAGCAATTTAATCACTAAAAAATTATGAAATCAAATACATTAACGATTTACAATGTCGTATGTATGTCATTGCACACATGTGAATGCAAACATCAGGTACCTCATCTACTATGCTCAACACATTAGGCAGCATTATTAAACTAAAAATGGCTAATTCACACGCACCCAACTACAGAACTTCAAACTTTTGGAACATCCGCTTACTATTGATGAAAGTAGGACTCCAAATCAACAATAAATTATTTCTGCACTTTGTGGATTTTTAGGGCGATCGGTTATGGAGTTCTCTTTAATCACCGTAAATGAATGACGGAGAAAAGGCAAGACAGAGGCTTCGGTTTTCTTCAATCAAAGAAAGAGCAAGAGAGGTTAGGGTTTTCTTCAATGTAGCGATGGTTCTCCTCACAGACCCAAACTTCAAATGCAAAACAGAGGTTAGGGTTTTCTTTAGAGAAAAATGTTAGGTTACAATTTACAAATATTTTGGGATTTATATTACGAAAATGTTAGGATATACATTAGGAAAATGTTGTGACTCACTCTACAAAAATATTGGAATACAGATAAGGAGGAGTTTGGGATGCTTATTAGGAAGATTTGGGATGCAACTTAGGAAAACGTTGTTATACAAGCCCAACGACCAAACATTTTCTTAATATTGTAACACTTTCGGTTTCTTACCAAAAATGTGTCTATTCCCTTATATTCTTACTAATTATATTTGTTTCTTATGAAAATAAGACAATTCCCTTCAAAATCAAATCTGAGAATTATCATTCATACCTACTTAGTTTTAGCAACCAACTTTTGGGTTCATTCACAGAACAATCGCAGCTTATGGATTCTATTTGGAAAGAGAGGTTAGGGTTTCTTACCAAAAATGTGTCTATATATTCTTACTAATTATATTTGTTTATGCCATTTAGTTCTTATGGAAATAAGACGATTCCTTTCAAAATCAAATCTGAAAATTATTATTCGTACCTGCTTAGGTTTAACAACCAAAATTTGTGTTCATTCACAGAACAATCGCTGCTTTCGGCTTCTATTTGGAAAGAGAGGTTAGGGTTTTCTTCAATGTAGCGATGGTTCTCTTCGCAGACCCAAGCGTCAGACGCACAAGAGAGGTTACGATTTTTTTCAACTAAAAAAAGGCCAACACAGGACCTTCTTCCTTCTTTCTTCTTCGCAGACCCACACAGACCTTCTTCACGCAACAAAGCACCTTTTTTGCCACGCAGACCTTCTTCCTTCTTCGCAAACCCACGCAGACCTTCTTCCTTCTTCGCAAACCCACGCAGACCTTCTTCCTTGCTTTTTCTTCTTTGCATTCTTTACAAATTCTATAAAGTAAGGGCTAGGGGCTAAATGGACAATTCTATACAATAAGTAAAAGCTAAATGGACAATATGCCGTATAAATATAACCTATACCGTATTATTACACAAATATTCAATATTATTACACATTTAATACAATTTCAACAGTGTGCAGTTACTTTTTTTTAACCCACTTTTTTAAGTGACGTGGCCATTTGTCCTCCACTCATTCTTAAATGGAGGAAATTGTGCACTATCCTACCAGAACTTATTTTTGGCCGTAACTAGACTTGCCGTTCCTGCCTTGGGAACGTGACTTGTAATTCAAGAAAATGGAGGTAAAAAGGGCGTGTCTATAATATTAATAAAATAAATGTAAAAAATCTAAACATTGAATCTTGATTTGAATTAACTGGAATTAATGAAAAACTCAACGCCCAATGAGCGAACGCTATTTTTAATAGTTTCTCCAATTGCCCATTTGACTCCACGTTGCCACACAAACAGCTATCACTCGGTGCCAAATTTGTAGAGTCAAATGCTACTTTCTCTGTTAGGCTTTTTCTTTAATTTTCTTTTGAATTTTTTATAATATCAATTTTCAAAGTAATTAATGCATATCATATTTTGAAAATTTCAAATTTTCTCATGAAGTTGAGGTGAATTTATTAAATAATATGAGAACGATTAGTGTCTTAAATATACATCTTAATTAAGCTGTGAGTGCATATAATTTCTAAGAATTTTAACATTTTTCTGGATTTTTTTTTTTTTTTTTTGTCCCCCCGAGTACAGAGTTTTCCAGCAGCTGCAGTAGCCAATAAATCCGCAAAGAACCTTATTGACCCCACGAGAGTTGTCGACACTAGACATTTAAGATCACGTTCTAGAGAGAGAAAATGGAAATAATATTGGGTAACCTACACTGTAGAAAGAGAAAGTCAAAGCACGAAATGCAACACCGACGCTTCCCCAAATTGCCTAATGCATTAATTAGCAAACCAAGTCGTCTTTGAGCTTTTCTTCTTCCAGGAAACTTTGGAAAAGGTCCACAATTAACTCTGCCTCCCCCTCTCTCTCTGTCTTTCTCATTTTCCGTGTTTTGACTTTCTCTTTTTCAACAATTAGTACCATCTCATTTTGTCTTCGTATAAAATCTTACCATCTCTATAGACTCTCAACAATTCGATCTAAATTTCTAACTGCATGTCAAGAGCACTTTTCAATCAATCTCTCAACATACCCTCTTTCAAGTGAGTTGACATATTCACGTCCTCTCTTCTATTGTTGTTAGCCTTCCCATTTTTGTTACATTGATTTTCAACAACACTCCTAGCTAATTTAGTAACATTTTCACTCCTAAAAGTTTTGTGTTAATGGACTATATTGATGTCCCTTCGTATTTTCTTTGTCCAATCTCCATGCAACTCATGGGAGATCCGGTCACGGTTTCGACCGGTATTACTTATGATAGAGAGAACATTGAGAGATGGTTGTATGCATTCAAGAACAACACTTGTCCAGTAACAAAACAAGTAGTTTTCGACGCCGATCTAACTCCAAACCACACCCTCAGACGTTTGATCCAAGCGTGGTGCACCCTCAACGCTTCACATGGAATTGAACGAATTCCAACTCCAAAGCCACCGGTGGACAAAGCCCACATCGTCAAACTCCTCAACGACGCAAAAAAGTCCCCACACACGCAGCTTAAATGCCTCGGCAGGCTTAGATCTATTGCATACGGTAGTGAGAGAAACAAGAAGTGTTTGGAGGCTGCCGGCGCAGTTGAATTCCTAGCTTCAATCATAAAGGAAGATGAAGAAGTAGGTTTGGACACCGGAATCGAGTTCAATAAGGTGAAAGATGAAGCATTGAGCATCCTCAACCATATCCAGACCTCAGAAACAGATCTAAGAAAACTTTTAGGTGATGAAGGTGACTTTGTTGAGGCTTTAATTCATGTCATGAATGGTGAGAATTACCAATCTCGAACTCATGCAATAATGCTATTGAAAGCTATTCTTGAGGTAGGTGATCCGGTCCATTTGATCACCATTAAGCCCGATTTCTTCTTCGGGGTAGTCCATATTTTGCAAGATCAAAAGATCTTGAATCAAGCCTCGAAGGCTGCATTGAAGCTTCTGGTGGAGCTTTGTCCTTGGGGAAGAAACCGAATCAAAGCAGTCCAAGCCGGTGCAGTTTCGGTCCTAATAGAGCTTCTTCTTGACACATCAGAAATGAGAGCTTGTGAGCTTGTTCTGATTGTGTTAAATCAGCTATGCAGTTGTGCAGAAGGGCGAGCCGAGTTGTTGAAGCATGGAGCCGGATTGGCTGTTGTGTCGAAGAAAATACTTAGGGTTTCACATACAGGCACTGATAGGGCAGTGAGAATACTGTCCTCAATATCTAGGTTTTCAGCAACTGATAGGGTTCTTGAGGAAATGTTGCAAGCGGGTGTTGTTTCAAAGTTATGTTTGGTGCTTCAAGTGGACTGCAGTCTTAAGGCCAAGGATAGAGCCAAAGAGATCCTCAAATTGCACTCTAGGGTTTGGAAGAACTCTTCCTGCATTCCTCCTCATTTGCTCTCTTCTTATCCAACTTGTTGAGAGATTCTATTTTTTTTGTACATAATTGAATTGACAATAATGGTTTGACCAAAATTATTAGTGAAATTTGGAGATGGGCTTTATATTGTTGTGCTTGCAAAAGTTTTGCACACTTCGTACTTGAAGTTGTATTTGTGTTGAATTAATCTGGAGGCACCACTATCTGAAACATTCTTAGTTACTCTTTTTGTATTTCTCAGCATACTGCAGATTGTTGGGTCAACGCAAACAAGTTAATTTGTTCCCAAACTATTTCTCAGAATGGAAGTTTCTTATAGTTGAATTAGTTAACGCTAATTTTTTATTTTTTTCCAACTTTGTTTCGACCTAAAATATTTTTTCTATACAAAGGACGGCTTCTATCAGGAAATTCATACCTATCTAAACTAATTGGATTGATGCCTTCTCTTTTCTTCTTTCTAGTAGGTAGACATTATATATTTTAATTATTATAGTTTTTATGAATATTTATTATTTCCAGAACTTGCAATATTAATGACTACGTAAAAAAAATTCGTGGCCTCCATGTTCTGACCATAGCGTGGCAGATGAACTGGACCATTCCAACTTCTGTGCTGGTTCAATTAAATTAAATTACACGGACCACGCCTACCAAGAAATGGAATAGGCCCTTCTGGTACGCGTACGCGTCTGTATTTTGTTTGTATACAAATAAATCTAGAATGTTACACCATGCAATACTAATAAATTTAGGGTACAACAAATAAAAATGTGTTGTATTTTTAATTTAATAGTGTTATATTTTTGTATCTTAGGCTTCGTTTATTTGGATGTAAAATATTTTTTAAAAAATATTTTTTTATTTTTTGGTGTACGTTTGGTTGCCATAAAATATTTACGAAAAAAATATATTAAAATTTAACAAAAATAACTTATCCATTAATTTTCGTCAAGTTATTTTACGTGTCCCGAGATGAACTCGACCTCAACCTCAACATAGATATTTGTCAAACACCTACAAAATAAAAATAAAAGAATATTTTACCTAAAAAATATTATTGTTGTTGTAGTAAAACAATCTCAAGATAACCAAGCCCATGAATCAACAACCAAAACAAAAGAGTCCAGACACAAGACCGGCCCAAACAAAAAGGTAACCACTGTATATATTCACCATCCATTTGAATAGAAAGAACTTGGAGCATCACCGTAAGGATTAGGTAAATGAGAAGAAAGGATTGCTGGGTTGGGGTTCATAGAAAGAACTTGGAAGATTTTCCAGTCAGCTGCAACAATTTCGGCATATTGGCATTTATAACTCTTGACGGAGAATAATCTCAATCTCACACGATAATCAAAAGCTATACCAAATTACAAAGTTCAGAATAAGAATAATTTGTTAAAAATAAACTTGATTTTAGTATTTAGGATTTTCAAGTATTTGATATATATGATGCATGTGTGCATTTCATGTTAGTGGGGTAGTAAATAGCCTTGATGGTAAAGGTTACGTGAAATCAAGAGGTGTATGAATTAAACCTCCTAAATGCTATGTTAGTGGGAGTAGTGGGAGTTAAGCCTAAAGGTTATGTTAGTGTGAGTAATTGGGTACTTAAATGTAATTGTTATACATATGTTCATGTGGCCTATATATTCATATATTCTAGTAAAATAATAGAAGAAGTGGAATAAAATAATTATTCAAGTATTCCTCCATATCATTCCCTTCCAAAACATTATTGTGTGTATTTAGGCCACTATTTCCAACAAAGTGGTATCAGAGCAAAGTCAGAAAGTGGTATTAGAGCAAAAGCCAACAAAGTGGTATCAGAGCCAGGTTCCATATCAGAGCTAGGTCATTATCAGAACCAAGGTTTCATGTTCAGAGCTTAGACGATCCTAAAGGCCCGACGAAGTTGATATTCAACATTTTTAGAAAAAACATGTTTCTTCTTGATGATGATGAAAAGGGGAAAATGTATTTCCTTAGTGAGAAGATGATGTTCTCTAATTACAAAAGAATAAAAATCATCATGACTTCATATCTCAAAGCATGTGATTTGTGGGATGTTGTTAGAGAAGAGCCAAATAGTGGCACGTCTAACAAGCTTCGTGAAAAGAAAGAAGGAAATGCATTGGTAGTGTTGCAAAAGGCAATATATCAAGAAATTTGGGAGTATTTTGGAGAGTTCAAAACTCCAAGTTATGTTTGGAAGATGCTCGAGATCATCATTTCCAGTCATAGAGGTGAATCACTACCCATGGAGTATTGGGTACAATGCTTTGAGGATGATGAGTTTATGAAGAATGATTATGAAAGTCTTGAGGAGAAATTTCTGGAGAATGAAGAGGTGTACAACACAAATGGAGTTGAAGAAATTGAAGATTCCAAAGTTGAATGCCAAAGTGAAATGGTGAATAAGGAAGAGATAAAGAAAGGTGTTGAAGAAGAGATCGAAAAAGTAGAGGAGATTGAAGTGAAAAGAGAAATTAAAGAAGAAGAAAGTACTAAAGAAAAGGCAAAAATTGATGAAATTGGTGAGTTAACAGTTTCAGGTATGGTTACAAATTCCACCTTGAAAAAAGTTATATTTGACTTATTTGATGAAATTATTATTTCTTCATATTCATCAAATAATGTTTATTTAGTGGAGAATGATGAACTTCTCTTAAAAAAAATTATTCAAATTAATTATAAGATTGAAGCTAAAGGCAAGAAGAATTTTTCAAATTATTTTTTACAAGATAATTCAGAGAATTTGGTAACTAACACAGGTTGGGTGAATATGGAGTTTTTTTTTTTAATTCCAAAGAAGAAGCACATAAGAAGTTCAAGAAGTATCGAAATTTCAAGAAGAAAGGAGACGGATGGAGTGCTTGTGTGAAGAAGATAAAAATTGATCATGAGAAGACATTATTCAAGTATTTGAAGATTTTTCACAAGCCATATACCCATATACATCCATGGAAATGGCCAAGAAGATTGTTGCAGTTGAAGGAGGTAGAACTCAAGACCAACCAACGAACTTTTGATTAAGCCCCAAGATTAATAAGAAGGTTTTTCAAGTTACAAAATCAAGTTTAAAGGGGGGTGTTGAAAATAAACTTGATTTTAGTATTTAGTATTTTCGATCAAGTATTTGGTATACATGATGCATGTGTGCATTTCATGTTAGTGGGATAGTAAATAGCCTTGATGGTGAAGGTTATGTAAAATCAAGAGGTGTGGGAATTAAACCTCCTAAATACTATGTTAGTCGGAGTAGTGGGAGTTAAGCCTAAAGGTTATGTTAGTGTGAGTAATTGGGTACTTAAATGTAATTGTTATACCTATATTCATGTGGTCTATATATTCATGTACTCTAGTCAAATAATAGAAGAAGTGGAATAAAATAATTATTCAATTATTCCTCCATATCATTCTCTTCCAAAACATTATTGAGTATTGTGTGTATTTAGGCCACTATTTCCAACAAAGTGGTATCAAAGCAAAGTCGGAAAGTGGTATTAGAGCAAAAGCCAACATAATTGCCCCACTATATTACTATAGAATTAGGACTACATTAGTGGTTGCACGTAGTGGTTGCTGGAGTAAGGCAGTGGCAGCGGTGGAAGGCTGCAGTAGTGGTGTAAGTGGTGGTACATTAGTGGTTGCACGTGGTGGTTGCGGTGGAAGTAGTGGTAGAAGGCGGTGGTAGTGGTAGCAAATATAGTGGTGAAAGCTAGTGGAGGTGGCGACAGTGGTAACAATGACAATGAGGGTGGTGGAGGTGGCGGTATTGGAAGGCAATGGTGAAAGGCTGCGACGGTGGTTGTTTTTTAGAAATTCACACACCCATTTTACTCATTTGAAGACTCAAAACCTCATCATCCACTTTGATAAGTAGAAGAAATACCACTGAGTCACAAGGTCTTTGGTGGATTTTTGGGAGCACCATGGTTTTTGGGAATTTGATTTGTTTTTTGTTTTTTTGTTTTTTTTTTTAAATAAATTACTTTGAAATGGAATGACTATTCCATAAATTTAGTTGTAACATGAATTTTTATTTTAGAATGGTCATTCTCATTTTAAATTTCGTACCAAACAAAAAATGATTGAAATCGGTATTCCATTGTTCCATAACAACTCAACATTTGTACTAGAAGATTGTTTTATTATTTATATTATTATTAAATATTAAAAAAATTAAAGAATATATATTTGCACTGGTGCAAGCTTCCAGTAACCACGTAACTTGTTAGTGACCACTTGCACAGATCCAACTTCCACCTACACCGGGGCAGCTTCGTCTAGTGACCACTTGCATCGGTGTAACTTCTGCTTTCACAGGTGCTACTTATCAAATTAAATTTTGCTTCTTATCCATAATTTCAAGTTTCAACTTACAATTTCACAAATTTATCACCCTTGTAATGATCATTCATATTTTGCTCAATCAAAATACACTTCAATAAGAATATTTTCTAGGAACAATGGATAATAATGAAAGTTCTAAACCTTGCCTAATAAGTTACACTACAACAAAATATTGATGTGGTAGCAAAATTCTAATAGCAATTATAAACAAAAAATGTTGTTATTGATATGTTTTTAACTGCATTTTTAGTAAGTGTCACACCTGACTGCTGTATCAACATGGACTTATTTTTATTTTTTCATTTTTCATTATTCATTTCTCATTTGTCCAATTGCTCCTCACTTTCTCTCTCTACTCCCACTCTTCACTCTCTCTAGCTCCACTCTGGCTTCTCGCTCGTCGTTGTGGCTCGTCGCTGTGGCTCCTAAAATCATACCCTAAACCTTAGTATTTCGAATTTTCTCACTATTTTTGTGTAGATTTTTTCTCTTTGTTCGAAAAGTTTTTCAACAGAGAACTTGATTTTCATTTGATCTCTCAAAATAAGACTGTGAATCCTAAGCTTAATTAGGAGTTTTTCTTCTTCTCTCTATTAGGAAAATATTTCAATCGAAGAGGTTTATTTACATTTGAGATATATTCAGTTAGTGCTATTAGATTTGGGAGCCAAATTGACATCCACATGCTATAAATTATATAAACTCATTTAAATCAGTAGTATTCTTCCTTAATTTGACACCCCAAGATCTTAAACTATCAATAAAGCAAAGAGAACATTCATAGTACCTTGATCCAAATTGTTTCAAAGATTGAAGAACAAAAAATCAATATGAAGCAATCTTCATAGTAG